TTTTACTTTATCGTTACCCAAGGTTGCCAGGAATGGGCCAATTCATCACTTCAGATATTCGCTAGTTATCAGTTATCAACACAATAATGGAAAAAATAGAATAACTATTTTCTAAACTGCTAACAGAAGACAGGGGCAGATTTCAGGGAGCTCATTAGGCTTTGAGCTTTATAACAGAAGCTTTTCCAAAAAGTCTAATCATTACAATAGGCTACCCACTCAAAAATGGTAAAGCGTCCGAATCAGGTGACCCAAGCAGAATTGGTGAAATACGGCTCGAAAACTCTGCTTTCTCAAAAATTTATAAATAGCTCAGAGATTCGTGTAGAAAGGAAATTCCTGCATTTGTACCATTCATGGAAAAGGTAGACGAGACGGCCGTGACAACTACTATAGAGACTTCACAGTTCGTATGGTCAGCCTATATCGTCAGCAGATTGTGTCTTCTAAGATTCCTTAATTTCCTTGAAGTGGACTATTTTTTATGAGAGATCTTTTTTCTGAACGAATTTGTAAAGCAGTTATTGATGGATGTAATGAAATGAAATTTAATTATTTAAACCCTACAACTTTTATATTTAACTTTTTGTCATAAAATATCTAGATATCCATATACCGAGATAGGACAAAATATTATGGGAACAACACATTATAGTCTGGGAGACCTTGCCCCAATAAGCTGCCCTGCCACCCTTTTCCGGCAAGTTCTCACGAGGCAGGATGACCTTTTTAGATAGGGGACATCGAGACCTTCAATCTGATACCCTACTTAGGGCATAACTCGATCGGGGTAGTGTTACTTACCTTTTTTTTTTTTTAATTTGTTAATAATTTGTTAAAAGATATTTCCGGCAGCATTTGCTCTCAGGCAGGAATACCGGTTAATAGATGCACATAATACTATACACAGTGTGTAAAAAGTTCCGGAACAGTCAATTATTTCGAAACTGGTGCACAATATAAAAAAACTTCCTGTATAAAAGTTGAAGGTCTTAATAAAATCTATTGAAATAGGACTTTTGTAATTATACAACGTGGCCCAAAAAGTTGTGCTACACAAAACTTCATTTTTTTCAATGAAATGATCCTTTTTTAATTACATTTTCTAATTCCTCTAGAGATTCTTAACAACAATTATGAAACATGTCATATGGCTAAACCCATTAGTTTCAGAAATAATTTGAGTTGAAGGACATAAATACGATAAGTACGATATTACCTACATTTTGCATTGTTTCGAGTTGCTTCAAAATGTTTCACGTTAAATCCTGAAAAAAAAAACATTTAACTTGTGTTAAATGAAATGTACCTCACTCAAGTTTAGTCAAAATTTTATAATTACTAAATTATTAAATACAAGCAGTAAAGTAAAATCAACAATAACTTTGAAAGAACAGAAATAAAATTAAGTGTAAGACGTTATTTTATTAAATGCTGAAAATGTCCTCCTTCCACAATTTGACAATGGGCTAGGTTATATTAAAATTTATTGATGACGTTTTGTAATATTTCTTAGTTAATAGATGCACATTCTTCAATAATTCTTCTTCTCAATTCGTTCAGATCTGGAGGTTTTGTCACAAACACTTTATTTTTCAGTTGTCCCCAAAGGAAATAATCAAGGGGCGTTAGGTCTGGTTACCATTTTGAACCAACTCGAAACAATGCAAAATGTAGGTAATATCGTACTCATCGTATTTATGTCCTTCAAGTCAAATTATTTCTGAAACTAATGGGTTATCATATGATATCTTTCATAATTCTTGTTTAGAATCTCTAGAAGAATTAGAAAATTTAATTAAAAAAAGATCATTCCATTAAAAAAAAAAGTTTTGTGTAGCACAACTTTTTGCGCCACCCTGTATAATTACATAAGTCCTATTTCAATAGATTTTATCAAGACCTTCAACTTTTATACAGGAAGTTTTTTTATATTGTGCACTATTTTCAAAATAATTGACTGTTCCGGAATTTTTACACACTGTGTATATTGATAATAGTGTCGACACATAACTCGATTGGGGTAGGAAAAATGCGGTCTTCTCCCTAACTATTACTGAAATGACAAAAAAGCGAATTCACTTATCTACACCATTTCCAAATCCAAGCGGCAGTAAATGACAAACTGGTGATTTTCAATACAACCTATCAAATGTCCTCCGTGCATGCGCACTGGTCCAGGTAGGACGTTTCAACCAATAGGAAAACTGGTGTTTGTTTACAATAAAGGTTATTAAATGTCATTTACTCTATGATTTACTGCCGCTTGGATTTGGAAATGGGTTTCTCTGCATCAGTGTTCGAGATAGTGAACTCTTATCCGTCATCGCTTTATAAGATCGATGAGTAATAGAAATATATAGTAAAAATACAACATAATTTTTTCAAGTTTGCTCTTATAATATATCACTAAATGTCCGGGTGATATATGGCGTCATAAAAATTCTTATAACTTTAGGATTTCTATGTGGAATGTAACTAATTATAGCAAGTAGTTTGTCATTCTTTTGTCTTAACTGTCATGGGAGTGCTGGTAATAAAAGTGCCTAAAAAATTGCGAAACCGGACACTTTTTCTATTGTTGGAGTTTTTATTTCATTAAAATGATTTGTTGCTTTGCGAGAGTTTCCCAAAGTTTTATTCACATACTTATTATAGTTTTGTTTTATAACAGAGACAATAATATGTTTCGAAATTTTGTTGATTGTCTTATCAATGTTAAAGTTTTTGTTTGGGAGTGGATAGAGGGTTGATAAAGGATTTCCTCCTAGGGTGGGGATGAAAGTTAACCCAAGCTTACGTGCGAGAGGTTGATTCTCTCTAGTGATCATATTCAGAACTGAACCAAGTTTTGGTGATTGAATTAAGTTTCAGGCCGTGCCAATTTCGGGAATTGGAACTCTGAAACTCTGAATCCAAACTAGATTTCTTTAAAACAATAAATAATTACTTTTCTGGGATCGGAAGTACTGTTTCCAATAAAACATCTGACGTTTCGGAAAATATATTTTTTCATGAAGTTACAATGAGTCTCGTTCGTCATGAAAACGACGGTTCTAGAACGGTTCAAAACACGCACAGTTTATCAATCAACAAAATGACAACGGCTCGGCTATCACAAATTTCAATAATAGACTGTGCGATTGTTTTGAACCGTTCTAGAACCGTCCTTTTTTTAAACCCGAACAAAGCTATAGTTCCACAAAATTGAACCGAGTAGGTACGAGAGCAATACTTTGACGATCCCATATAAATAGAACAGAAAACAAGATAATGAATTAAATAGTACAGTTATTCATTTAAACTCCAGTATTCCAAAAGATAATTTTCAGTTTCATATTAATTTTAAATGGACTTTACTTCGTTTGTCGTCAATTTTAAATAGTTGGCAAACGCAAAATCAAATACCAAAAGCTGCTACCGGTAATAAGTATCATAAATCAATCTAACGTCGATATCCTTTATCCAGCTTTGGCACAAACTTCGCATTCGCGACTACTTGACTTGTGTGTGTGTGATGTAACAATCGAGCTTTTGTGCTTTATTTGATCAGGTGTGGTGGCTGTCTTTTCATCGAACGGTCCATTTATTTCCTGGAACTTAAAACGAAAATGGGCACAAAGACAAATGCACGGGTTTGTGTCAACGATGAATCTGACTTATAGTTTTAGGAATATCCACTGTCGGCTTAAAATAATAGACAACGGAAAGTTCAAAGCAATATTATGCTTGAATTGTGTTTATAGGAGTTTTAATTTTAAAATAATTATGCCGCAGTGGAGACTAATTACTCTCAATATGTATCGTGTAAATAAATGAAATCACCTCATGCTTAAAGCTATTAACGAAAATCAATTAACAATGGGTATTATGTAGGATAGGATTTGTACAATGTTAGTGATTGGGATCAGGAGAAAAAACGAACGTATATTGGGTAAATGCGGTTTCGATCTACAGTAATTGCTCTAGATTCAAAATGTGTAGTTTGATAGAGAACAGACACTGCTTCTTGCCAAATTATTGGATGCTAGAAACTCCGCTAATAAATAATCAAGAATTTTATTTATTTATTTATTTATTTAAAAATAATCTATCTCATTTAAGTTTATTTATTTATCCAAATCGACTGGATAAAACGAAAACGACTTTTGGAGCAAAGCGGAAAGCGGCGATCAGGCTGAAAATGGAAACAATACCAAACCAGAAAATTATAGAAAAAAACTGATTTGGTTTGGACATCTAGAAAGAATGGCAGATTATCAAGCAAATCATTGAGTGGTAGCTAGGGGGAAGAAGAAGATGCGGCGGACCGAGAAGAAACTGGAGTAGGAAATGAAATGAGATACAGAGGTTTGAAGTGACAAAGATGGCAGGAGATCGAAAATCCAACGAAGGTTAGATCGATAATTATGTGATAGTAAGAGATTCAACACCATTTTTTTTAACATTTATACAAACTTGACAATACATCTAATTGTATCAGGTTCTTATTAACAATAAGTCGATTATTCAGTGTGTGGAGGACATAAGAATAAAGCAATGAGAACACCTATATATACTTGACATGGGGAGCAGAAAAAATGGGAACGACCACAAAAAAGCTGGACGAAAGGGTTTGATGGAGAAATCAGTTTAAAATAGTAGGTATAGTCTTAGAGGTATTCTTAGTCAAGATCGCAAAGCTTTTTTTAATCCCATTGTTTTGCAGTTTTCTTTTAATGCATTCAATTATTCTACAACTACATTAACTTGCAAAAAAGTTAATTTCGTTAGTTATCACGCGGAAGTGCCTTATTCCCATAGAGCGACCAAAGTGTGCCGCTAATCACACACATGCACATTCAGCCTAGTTATTTTAATTTCCTCAACTTCTTATGGCTCTTCCTTTTATTATGGTCCTTCGAGCCGTTGATTCCCTCAACAGTCGGCAGCGCACTCGCAACTACACTGTGGCCTTTCTTTAGCTTCGGAACGGCCGATTATTCAGTCCGCGTAAAACTCACCGACGAAGAGCTTGTGCTGCTCCGCGTCCTGGAACACGCCAAACGTGCTCGGGTTTTCAAAACAAACTTTTGGTGCAAATTGTTTTGGGATATTGATAATTTGATAATTTTGGATTTTTTTTTTAATGTTGAGAGATTTAGTGGTATAAATAGTGGGTGGTATTTGGTGTATTTTTCTTGATTATTTCACTGACAATTTTTGGATTATTTTTCGTGTTGATTAATAAGGTGAGTTATGTTCCATTTTTTATTATAGAAAAGTGGAATTACTAGATATTCGCCTTTAAGAACCAACTTTTTTTTCTAAGAATCCCAAACATTTATTAGCTTCGCTTTCAAGTTCTTTTTAGATCATAAGTAGGTATTTATTATGTTTATTTAGGTACCATATCAATTCTTTGATCACTTCTTCAACTAAGTTAAACTGATATCTTGAGTCTCGACTGGAGCCTTAAACCGCAAAACACTAACCTACTAGCAATTAAAAAATCTACTAGGTAGTTATTTATTCTTTATTGTTTTCATTCAACAGATTCTTGAGTTGTGGTCCCAAAACAAATATAAAATTTCCGTTGAAATCACTCGAAATTAATTTGGCCATCTCACTTTTTTTCCGTAATCGGGAAATTATAGAGGGCAATCGTTGAAATTCTTAGGTAGTAAGTTTGGTTCTCGATATTCTATGTCACAACTCGATGGTCTCAACAAACTCCTGACTGTCGGATAAACTTGTATAAGATAAACTGCACTTTTGTGCCAAAAATATTTATATTATATGTAACAATATTAACATATTTATATGTTACTATGTTGATTGAAGATTTAGGGCGGGTATTATAAAACTACTTTGACAGTTAACTCAAAGTTAACCTCTGGAATTACATGACGAGGAAGGACTTAACTTTAAGTTAACTGTCACAGTAGTTTTATAATACCCGCCATTAATCGAATTTAGAGACAAGTTAATGTGTTTGGTAATTTTGAAATCCTAAACATAAGCTCGTCAATAATAATATTTTCCTCGTAAACCTTAGGCTCCTTATACTGCAAGTACTGTGTACATGATCAGAATTGCATTTAAAAAGTTATACCGGCGGCCAAACATAACACTATTGTTTCTTTATTGGTCAGAATTTTTGACGTAAAATTTTTACTCAAAATTTCTTAGAGCAGGTAATTTCCTAGGTGGGAGGAGTAGGAACATGGAGTTGGAAAATGAAGCCGTTTTTTTTTCCAGGTATTTTGAGATCCAAAATAATGGCGGTATAGGTAATTCAATGCTTTACCTGTCATTTGGTGTACAAACACAAAAATATTGCTAAGACCTTATACGTTCAAAAAATCATAGCCATCTTTGATATATTTTTTTCTTTCGAAGACTAGTTACGTCAAACAATATATAATCCTCGGATTCAAACTTCAATCTAGACCGTTATTTTCTATTTATCGACGTTGAAACATTAATAACTATTTTTATCCACAATCATCAAATAATGGCAGTTTTATCCACTCATATGAAGCGTCTAAAGTGATACCTCATCCACTAGTGGAATAAAATAACTTTATTCTACTAGTGGAATAATAAAATCAAGAAATACGAAATTTTTATTTTATTTATTGATATTAACATTTATATTAATAGATACTGCATTGTTCGATTTGTCTCCTATAACTTCATTATTGTTGGTAAAAATGTGATAATTTCCATCAGCTTGGGAACGCACGTTTATGGGTGTTTTGGCAGAATTACCAGGAACAGGAATATAAGGTGTCTCCTCTTGTAAGGGACATTTTCCCCTTGAATTTTGTTTGCAATACTAAAGCTTATTGGAAATGGAATCCTCGATATAACTTTCAGCAACAGAGGAGCTTTTCCATCCGCCATGTGTGATTGTGGATAAAACGTTGCATTACATTCGTGTTTTAGTTGCATTTTATTCACTAAAGAAAATTAAACGCTCGAACTTCGTTCTCGCGTTTAAACATTCTTGCGTGGATAAAATGCTTCCTAAAACACTTATACAATAAATAACTATGAAATACATAAACATTTTTTGAAACTTTGTAACAAGCATTATCGTTATTCAAAGAAATATTACCCATCATGATACAGATGTTTATATTTATGTAAAAGAAGAAAAGCAACTTTTTCTATAACATTTTAGATTATAACTCTCATACTTGTAACTTCTTAACCTTAACAACTTACAAAGCTAAAACCTTTTCAAAATCACTTCTAACAACATCTATACAATGATGGTATCAATATATTTACAATAGGTGACATAAACTTATATACAAAGAATAACATAATAAATGATTAGATAATTTATTGATGAGATTTCAAACCAACATCCTCTCTCTGTTCAGCCGTTTCTCACTGGATTCTGAAACTTCAAATATAAATTATCAAAAAAGTCATAGGAAGATCCAAGAAACAATGTAAAATCTAATCTAAAATAAATTTATTTCTATTTCAAAATTTCATTAAAAATCCATGTGAGTATATCTTTCTCTGGTTTCTGAGGCTATTCCAGTATATTTTTATTGAAATGTGGGTATCTTGATAATCCGAAAGTTCGACTAGTTCCTCTAACAGAACTTTTCGAATACCCACCACAAACAAAACCTAGTTTTGGTCCATCTCTTCATATTGTCATTTAAATTTACACTGTTCTTCTTGTAGTAACTACTGACTGTAAGGGGCCTGTTCTTTCGTAATTTTGCCTTAACAAGATCCAATAATATATCAGCCGAATCTCTTATTCTGGTATGGTTATCTCAAAAGATTGGTGTGTTACTAACAAAAAGCCGAGAATAATCTAGTGTATGGAGTTTCGGGGGTCCCAAAAGACCATCAAGACACAAAATCTCAACAAAAAAAAAATTAAAATTTCATCGTAGGTACCTACTTATATAGATTTTGAAAAACTTTTAAAGGTCATACCTTTTTTTCTATTATAGATAGAAAGCTAAAATTTTCAGTGATTCTTATCCCAGTAGAATACTATACTCCCTGAAAATTTCAACTCATTTGGACCCAAAATTCCAGAAATAAAATCGTGTTAAGCAATTTGGGGTGATTTATCAATTTTTCTGAGTGCCTTTTTTCATAGAATCTGACTCCAAATCTCAGAATAATTCAGTCTATGGAGTTTGTAGGATCCCAACGGACCATTAGGACACAAACAAAATCTCTACAAAAAAAATTTGAAATTTCATCTTGTTAGTACTAAGGTACCTATATCAAGTTAGCAATACCGCATGCACGCCGGGATATGGCATTAAGTGATTAATTTGTCGCTTTTTTGTCGTAAATTTGTCGTGCAAAAAAAAATTTTGTCGCGTTTTTCTTTTTTCTTAAATACCCTGGTAGTGCTAACTTGATATCAAGTTAGCACTACCAATGTCACCCGATGTTCCTACAGACGTTTTATTAGGTGAATAATTTGTCGCTTTTTTGTCGTAAATTTGTCGTGCAAAAAATAAATTTGTCGCGTTTTTCTTTTTTCTTAAATACCCTGGTAGTGCTAACTTGATATCAAGTTAGCGCTACCAATGTTCCTACAGAAGTTTTATTAGGTGAATAATTTGTCGCTTTTTTGTCGTAAATTTGTCGTGCAAAAAATAAATTTGTCGCGTTTTTCTTTTTTCTTAAATACCGTGGTAGTGCTAATTTGATATCAAGTTAGCGCTACCAACGTCACCCGATGTTCCTACAGAAGTTTTATTAGGTGAATAATTTGTCGTTTTTTTGTCGTAAATTTGTGGTGCAAAAAAAAAATTGTCCCGTTTTTCTTTTTTTTTAAATACCCTGGTAATGCTAATTTGTCGCGTTTATCTTTTTTCTTAAACACCCTGGTAGTGCTAACTTGATATCAAGTTGGCACTACCAACGTCACCCGATGTTCCTACAGAAGTTTTATTAGGTGAATAATTTGTCGTTTTTTTGTCGTAAATTTGTCGTGCAGAAAAAAAATTTGTCGCGTTTTTCTTTTTTCTTAAATACCCTGGTAGTGCTAACTTGATCTTGATATCAAGTTAGCGCTACCAACGTCACCCGATGTTCCTACAGAAGTTTTATTAGGTGAATAATTTGTCGTTTTTTTTGTCGTAAATTTGTCGTGCAAAAAATAAATTTGTCGCGTTTTTCTTTTTTCTTAAATACCCTGGTAGTGCTAACTTGATATCAAGTTTACACTACCAACGTCACCCGATGTTCCTACAGAAGTTTTATTAGGTGAATAATTTGTCGTTTTTTTGTCGTAAATTTGTTGTGCAAAAAAAAAAATTGTCGCGTTTTTCTTTTTTCTTAAACACCCTGGTAATGCTAATTTGTCGCGTTTATCTTTTTTCTTAAATACCCTGATGATGACCAGGGTATTTAAGAAAAAAGAAAAACGCGACAAATTTATTTTTTGCACGACAAACTTACGACAAAAAAGCGACAAATTATTCATCTAATAAAACGTCTGTAGGAACATCGGGTGACGTTGGTAGTGCTAACTTGATATCAAGTTAGCACTACCAGGGTAAGTATTTAAGAAAAAAGAAAAACGCGACAATTTTTTTTTTTGCACGACAAATTTACGACAAAAAAGCGACAAATTAATCACTTAATGCCATATCCCGGCGTGCATGTGGTATTGCTAACTTGATATAGGTTACTAAGGTAGCTATCTTATGATTTAGATTTTGGAAAACTTTGAAAGGTCATAACTTTTTTTCTTTTATACATAGACAGCTGAAATTTTCAGCGATTCTTATCCCTAGTAGAGGACTATACAATCCGTGAAAATTTCAACTCATTTGGACGTATAGTTCCAGAAATAAAATCGTATTAAGCAATTTGGGATGATTTATCAATTTTTAAATTTTTCTGAGTGCCCTTTTCCATAGAATCTGGCTCCAAATCTCAGAATAATTTAGTCTATGAAGTTTGTGAGATTCCAACAAACTATTAGGACATAAAATGCTACGGGATCACGAAGCTCGATATTCGTTTAAGTTTTGTCATTTTTGATCGAAAATCGAAAGGACTTGTTCATGACTTTCGACTGATCGATTTATTTCGATCGAAATGCCTCGACAGGTTCGGAGGTCTCGAATTAGGTTAAATTTCGTCTATTTTTCCAATATATCGTAAAATTCTCATTAAAATAAAAATGTTACGTTATCCACGCTATTCTGCAAAGACAAAGAAATAGACGTTGCCAGAATCTTGAGCT